AAATATCCCATGTTGGGAACCCCTGAGCCTAGGCACTTTGTGGAACTGCGCATCTAGGCGGCTTCAGCCCCCTTGCCTGCACGCCTGTCCCCAGATTTCCAGCCTTCCTCCCAGCTTTGGAGCTGGTCAACAGGCCGGTGCCCCATGAATCCTTGTTAGATTGGTAAATCCAAAGTCAGGATAAAGGTTGGTGGCTTGTCCCCTTCCCACTTTTACATTTGCTGTGAGATAAAGGGCAAGGAGAAGGAAGCCTGGTGAATTTTGTTTAAAAAATTGCTTCTTGGGTAGGCGTTAACTTCTGTGGGCTTAGTTACAAAGGCATCTAGGCTGTTCAATGTCCCCACAAGAACATTGTCAGAGGAGAAGTTCAATCCATCGTGGCTGGCTAGTTTTCAGGGGCAAGATTGATTAGAACTGGGATCCCCCACTGCACATTCCTGCGCCAGTTTTTCTGCTTTAATAATGCTTTGGCCCTTCCTTCTGCTGCTCCCTACATGTTGTAGAGTTCAAGCAAGCAAACTCTTAAAGCACACCCCAAATGCATTTCGCAATCTTGTACATGACGCGCGCCCCTGGTTGGAAGTTCCCCTGAGGCTGAAGGAACTGATTTCCAAGTCCTCATGCAATTGTGACCCTAAGGAGCTTTAATTTAGAAGTAAGTGTCAGACTTGATCAGCTAATAAGTGCATTGGTATCAGAGCGCAGTTTTGGAATACCATCTCACAGTTATCACCCTCTTGGTCAAAGTTGCAATGACACTTTTTTCTTGCCCCTGCTATTTCGAAACCGCAATACGGTCTCGCACTGTGACAGTATAACAGATGTCTTGTGGGTGGAGGTTTCCCCACACATTTACAATATAAAAGTAATAAATGAAAGGAGTTGTTTTTAGGGTCTGCATATCTGAATGGAGCACGTTTTTTTGATGGGGGGAGGTTCTTAAGAAAAAAATCAGTGTGTTTAAGCAAATGGTAGTTCTGTGGGAGGAGAGACTCAACAATAAGGAAACAGGAAGACTCAGAGCTTTCAATTTTTCTGTAGCGTCTAACCTGTCACCCATTATTCCTTTGAGAAGTCCATAATGCTGGGAAAGGTGGAAGGAAAGAGAGGAAGAAGATGACCAGCATCATGGTGGATGGACTCAGTTACAGTAGCAATGGGTGCACCATTGGAAGACCTGAAGGACCAAGTTGGGGACAGGTCCTCCTGGAGAAGTTCTATCTATGTGGTTGCTAGGCAACACCAACTTCATGCCGTATAATCCATCAGTGAATCAATGCAAAGACCAAGCTCACCTGGGAAGTCCATAATGCTGGGAAAGGTGGAAGGAAGGAGAAGAGGTTGATCAGCAGCAAGGTGGAGGGACTGTTACAGTGGCGATGGAGGCACTGTTGGAAGACCTGAAGGACCAGGCTGGGGACAGACCCTCCTGGAGAAGGTCCATCTATGTGATTGCTAGCATCACCAACTTGATAACACCCAATTAATCAGTCAATCAATATCATAGACCCTTGTTTTCTCCTGGCTCTTTAGTGATCTTTTTCTTACCCCAAATTTGCCATTTAATTGTTGCTTAATAGGGAAGAGATTGTCAGGTTCAGCCCAAGAACCACAACGAGGACATCCAGAACAGTTCAGCTCCTTTATTAGCTCGCACCTAATGGACAGAATCTCGCCAGACTCAACCTATGCTAAAGCAACTAGTGGATATACCCCGTGAGACTCTAGGGAGGGACCAGCCTCATCCTCTTCGTCTTCCTACACTCTTGTTGCGGGCTGAGGAGGCGCTTGCTCTGCCCCTCCTGACAACCTTGAACTTCCATTCCAGAATCTTCCCCACTCATACCATCCATTACAGGTATCCCAAAAAACGTGATGCATGGGAAGCCCACATGTCCTGTGTCTACTGGAATCGGTGGTTGCTTATGTGACTGTCCAGACTGGGAACTTTCCTTAATCCTTTGAGTTATTCTTTTCTGTTCCTTTTCCAGCCCTGCCATCTTTATTACTATTTTTTTTAAAAAGGATGAGGAAACCAGAAGTACTTTAGAGGTCTAACCCTATGTGTTGATATAATGACAGCATGATTGAGACTTCTGTTTCCAGTCTCTAGTCTTGCTTTGCCAGCCTGCACTGTGGAGTTTGATTTTCCAGAGTCTAAGGACTCCCAGTTGTTGTTGGGTTTTTTTTTTGTCTGTTTCTAGTGGTAGCCCAGCCGCTAGCCCAAATTTCTCCAAAAAACAATATTTTTGAACAGTTCTGTAGTGCATTGAAAAAAGAAGAGAGAATAAAAAACACACCGATAGATGCAGACACACACACTCACACAGGCATACATGCCATCCCACACTGTGCCTGTCAGGTCTCCTGAAAATTTGCTGAAAGTTCATCTGGTGGAATCTTTTTTTTAAATACATTTTTTCCATGTGACTCTTGGTTTTGTTGGGGAAGACCTGGCTCTTCCCCCGATCCTTGGGCTGGGATGAGGGTTGAGCCAGGAGGTTGATAGCTGGTTGGTCTGGCATTTGGTGGGAAGAGTTGTTCTGTTTTTACTCTGTTTTTTTATTGATTGTTGTGAACTGCCTATCACTAGCTGAGATAGGTGGCCATATATGTTCAATAAATAAATAAATAAAGTGTGGCTTATTATAATGGTATGTGGGAATGGCCTTGGGAGACGGGGGAAGAGACACAGCTAGGGGATCGGTTGGATAAGAGGCAGCTGAGCCCTCAGAAGGAATGGGGGTGTGGAAAGCGTCTCAGAAGGGACCCTCCCTAGTTTCTTGGGCTGTAAAGGCGAGGGGGGAGAAATGGACTTTCAGACTTGCAAAATTCTGTTAATGTAACCATACAAGAAAGTAGAATTCGTTCTTCTGGCCATGATTCCTGGTTGGGCTGTCTCGCAAGGCCGACATTTATTGAACAAATGCTGATTATGCAAACAAGGCCTTTGCTGGACACGTGAACTTTATTGGACCCTTTGAGCCGCAAGAAAAATGTATGGGTGGCTCATTCATTTCGGAAGAAGCTGTGCTGGGAATCTAGCTTCAGACTATGTCATCAGGGCTCAACATGTCCTGAAACTGTTCCCCTTCTTCCTTTACCCGTTCAGACACATTGGAGGGGAGAGTTGATGGTTGCTTCCTCTTGATAGAGGAAGGAATGAAAGCAAAACAAACTTTCAAAATATCTCATTGCGTTGGTCAGAAAAAGGCAATTATTTGCACTTTCCATTTTTGAGATTGCTTAACTGGAAATAGATATTTGTGAATATATGAATAATGGCTCGCCTGGGTTTGCACTGTAATACTGTTGTTCTGTCATTAGGAGCCTGTGAGGTTCCATCTAACCCAGGAACGGCATTTGTTGAGTCTTTGTCAGTCCTTCAGGGTAAAGCAAGTCAGGAAATAGATACTATAAAAATTGCTAAAGCTCTACTTTATTGATTTAAACTATAATATAGGTAGTCCTTGGTTAATAACCACTCATTCAGTGACTGTTCAAAGTTACGACAGAGTTCTGGCTGTCCCAGCACCCCTGCAGTCACATGATTGCAATCTGGGCTCTTGGCAACCAGCTCACACTTATGACAGTTCCAGCATCCTGTAGTCATGTGATCGTGATTTGCGACTTTCCCTGCTGGTTTCCCACAAGCACAATCAATAGGGAAGCCAGCAGGGAGGGTCATAAGTTGTTTGGGTAAGTCTCCCTCACCTACGCACCCTCCCCCAGTCCCTCTGTGCTCGCCCCGTGCTTCCCTGCCACCCACACACACTCCCTGAGCCTCGCTGTGCTTGCGCCACGCCTCCCCTGGCACCCTTGTGCACCCTCCCGCACCCAGCAGTACCCACCCCAAGCTCTGCCACATTCTCACTGCACCTCCCCTGCCAACCGTGCACCCTCTCCAAACCTCACTGCGCTCACACCTCACCTCCCTGGCCACTTGCGCATCCTCGCAAATCCTGCAGTAGCCACCCCAAGCCCTGCTGCACTCACACCATGCCTCCCCAGCCACCCGCACACCCCCATGTTCCCTCTCCCACCTGGCAGTAGCCACTTACCTGCCTGCTGGCCTGCTTGTAAGGTACCTGGGACTTGCATCTTCCTTCCAGCTTCCCCACTGATTTTGGTGGTTAGAAGGCAGCAGGAAGTTGCGAGGAGGTCCTCATTTAATAACCCACAGTCCTCACTTAACGATGGCAACAAGGACTGCAGGCATTGCTGTCATTAAGCGATGCGATCACGTGATGTTGCGCTTTATGACCGTATTGCTTAGCGATGGAAATCCCAGTCCCAATTGTTGTCATAACTCGAGAACTACCTGTAATAGAAACCTGAAAGCCTAATGGTTTCCCCCCCATACCAAAGAGAGTCAAGGCGGGACAGTCTTGAGTTTCTTTTTGATGCTTTCCTGTCGTCCCTTGCTAAGTTTATGTTTTCCCAACTTCACGTTTTCTTCACTACCAACGCTGTGCTGCTCTACTGAATTTAGCCATTAGTTTAAGTTCCTCCTCCCTGGTCCTTCAGTAATCTTCTCTTTGAATTATGACACACATAAGACTATATTGACTCTGTACACTGAACCAAAATCAAATGCCACGGGGTTTGCATTAACTTTGTTGTAATAATCTGAATTAAGAATACATCTTCCATGCCTCTGGTGGAACAAGAAAGAGAGACATTCTCCGGGCACGTTGGAGGCAAGATGCTATTTTATGCCATATCAAAATTTTGATTAGAATCTGAAAACAGAAGTCTCCTTCAAGTCCAGTTGGGCTCCTGATTCATCCCTATCATTTTCTGACTGTGTTTTAAAGTGATTTTCTGATACGTTTTTCAACATCTCACTTTAGTCTAATTCCTGGATTCCGTCCAAGACCTGACCAGGACTGACCTTGCTTAGCTTCAGAGATCAGCCAAGGTCAGCTAAATATTACCACCTAGGCAAGATATATTCTCCAATTAACTTTACTTCTTTTCTTTTTTTTTTCTTTTTTGGTAGGCTAACTATTATTACTGAAGGCCTTAACAGTGCACGTGCTCTAAGTCAGTAGCAGGACACAGACCTGATGACTATACAACCATGGGTAAGTCTTTTTCACTCTTCCTGGCTTGATCCTCTGTTAAGGGTGGTGTAAAATGGGGCATTTTTGAATTCTTGTGGAATAGATGCGTGTAAGCACCTATAAGAGGAGCAGTTAATGGAGAGGAATGATGATGTTGTGTGTCTTCGATACAACACTTCTGTTGACATAGCCCCGAATTGTGTTAGACCTCCTAGCAGTTGTCTCCCTCTGCTGATTGATGTTCAGCTTGTTGTCAACGACTACATCCAAGTCCTTTTCAGAGGTAGAGCGTCCAAGCCTTATATCCCTCAAGTTCTGTGCCTTTTTTCCCCCTCCCTAAATGTAAACACTTACCTTTCTCCCTGTTAAAATATACTTGGTGCCTCTCAACCCAATCTTCCATTAGATTACAGTCTCTTTCCGTTGTCCTGGGGGTTGGCCAGAGTTCCCAATTTTGTGTCATTTGCAAATCTGACAGGCAGTTTATCAATCCCATCAGGTGGGTTCTGCATCTTTGTAGATTTCTGAGAAGAGGCTAGATGGTCACCTCTCATGGATGGTGGAACTGTTTTTCTGCAGATAGCATAGAGTTGAATTAGATGATCCTTGTGTTCCCTCCCAGTTTTCCAATTGTGTGATTCTGTGATTCTGTGCTTTGATGAAAGTCAATTGCAGCTGACTATGTTAGGAAGTATTTTCTGAATGCTACAAGAGAGTTGATTACTCAGATCTTCTGCATTTTAATAATTGGGTTCTACGCTGCAGATCAAAGCGTTTCTGCATTCCTCTGCTATATAGCAGGGCAGAAGAAGTTGCTTTTTGTCTGTGAAGACAAAGGCTGTGATTAGGGACCGGAGTTACCCATCGTATTTCTTCAAGCCTTACACAGTGCATAAACCACACAATTTTGGGTTCTTCTTACTCGCCTAATTGGATAAGAAGACAAAAGTTAGGTTGGATTCTGGGAATTGATTTTCTATCTTTCTATTAAGTGGTTGTCTTTCAATCTTAGGTTAATGAGGAAGAGTTGGAAGGACCAAGGGAATTGACTTTCTCTGTGGATTTCAAATACAGATACCACTTGATGTCTGTCCTTCTTGGTAGTTAATATAAACTGAGATTCATGAACTGAGATTTTTCCTTTCATCAGGGTTGTAGAGGGTGGGAATCAGAGAGATATTGGAAGATGCTGGCGTTCCCATGCTTCAGACACCTTTGGGGGTTGGCCCTGACATTTTCAATGAAACTTGAGATCAGCAAGTGCTGGTTTCAGTTTTGTTGCTCAGCTCATACTAAGCTAGAGTTCAATGGAGAGGGGATTTGTAAATATTGGAAATCAATAAGCCAGCTTAGATCAGCCCACAGAATTCTCTGCTGGTAGAGCAACTGCTGAGAATTCTGGGAATTGAAATCTACATATCTAGAGGGAACCTAAGTGGGGGAAAGCTGGTGGAGGTTCTACAAAACAGAGATATTCGGGTGAAGTTGTACTGTATGTGGTATACCTGAAATTACCTGTGAGGCTGAGATCCTGGATAGCAATCCTGAATGTTAATTAAAAATCAATTAAACTTTCCATAATTGAGCATTTCAGTTACTCAGTGGCTTACAGGTAGTCCTCACTTAATGACTATTCGTTTAGCGACTGTTTGAAGTTATGACAGTGCTAAAGTGACTTACGACCGGTGCCCAAACTTACGACTGTCACAGCACCCCTGCGGTCACATGATCGTGATCCAGCTGCTTGGCAGCCAGCTCTCACTTATAACAGTTGCAGTGTCCCGGGGTCACGCGATTGCCATTTGCAACCTTCCTAGCCAGCTTCTGATAAGCAAAATCAACGGGGAACTGCATGATTCGCTTAATGACTGCCACAAGGAAGGTAATAAAATAGGGTCTGGTCACGTGATGGTTTGCTTAATGACTGCATCGCTTCATGACCTAAATTCTGGTCCCAATTGTGGTCGTTAAGTGAGGACTGCCCACTACACAGGCCATTCTATACCCTATATATGGGAAAGTCCAGAGTGATGAAATAAGAATGTTGTATAGGTGGATCTTTTTTTAATCACTGTGTGGGTAGCTTTAAAAGTATAAATAGCTAATAATCCAGGTTGACAAATTTTATTGCTACATCCGAGATCATAAACTAGTTAGTCTATAACAACAACAAAACAACTAATCTAACAGGATTTCCCATAGCCTGGCTTATAAATTAAGCTAAAATGCAAGGATTACTTTTCTTCTGTATCTTAAGCCTTAAGGAAGTGGACAAAAGTTCCATCTAACCCAGTATCCTGTTTCTATGCTTTTTCGTAAGCACAAAAGCAGAATTTGAAGCCTACTCAGCTTTCATTCATGATCAAGAAGAGGTCATTGTTATTACTTGTATGGAAAAGGCAGATGTTCGTATTTTGTTTTTAAATTATTTTGTTTATTGTTTGTTAAATTTGATAAATAAATAATCTAATGCATTAACATCATCCTTCCCCTTTAATGGGTAGTGTTTTTTTTTTATTTATTAAATAGTAGCCTTGATTTTCAATCCTCTGAAAAGGCGTTTATTGTGAGATACAGGTAGTCCTTGTTTAACAACTGTCCATTTAGTGGCTGTTTGAAGTTACAACGGTACCAAAAAAAGTGACTTACAACTAGTGCCTGAAATTACCACTGTCCCAGCACCCGTGATATGTGATTGTGATCCGGATGCTTGGCAACCAGCTTGCACTTATGATGGTTGCAGTGTCCCGGGGTCATGTGATCGCCATTTGTGACCTTCCCAGCCACCTTCCGGCAAGCAAAATCAATGGGGAACACATGATTCACTTAATGACCATGTGATTTACTTAATGACCACGGTTATTCGCTTAAGGGCTGCTGCAAAAAAGGTTGTAAAATTGAGTCTGATTCACTTAACAACCACCCTGCTTAACAACCAATTTTCTGGTCCCTATTGTGGTCGTTAAGCGAGGACTACCTGGCACTAGCAATATATTTATACTTCCAAGAGGTAATATATTAGGTGGTGACTCAGTTAAAATCATGTTTATCCATTGTTACTCTAAGAGCAATAGATCGAATTAAATTGGATGAGATGAATCTTGGATTAGGGAACTATGAAAGCATGAGAATTCAGAAAACAAGATTATGTCTGCTTTGTCAACAGAAGACGCATCTTTCAGTGTCCACTCAGATTATGAAAATGAGGAAAGTGCCAGTTTGTTCTGAAATTCAGGTTCATTTATCTTAGTCTTCAGTGTGATAAACGTGTATTGGTTCTTTCCTATACCCACACATGTATTGGGGCAATGATACAGAAATCTCTGGGTAGTGAGGAATAGGTTCAAATTTTAGAAAACAGGACGTCTACGATTTTGGATACAGCAAAACCTGAGTTCATTGGTCTGTTTGGGAAAAGAAGGGGCCGAACATCCATGACATCCAGTCTACACAACACATCTATATTTTATGAAATTTATGTAACTTTTAAAGAAACGATGTAACATTGAGGCTTTATTGTATGTGCAATTCTGCACAGTTCTTCCGCTATTTTTTTATGGAAACAATCTCATATATCAGGGACTGGCTGACTCGAATGCAACGTGATTGATCAGCACAAAAGTGGGTCCATTTGTTTGCGAAATTCAGGATAATTTTCCAACACATGTTGGTTTGCCGCATGTTGGAAGTTACTCAGACTCTTCATCTTCTGCACGAAACAATCTGGTGGGGTCCTCTTATGCATTTTGCACTCCGGGACAGGCGTGTCGCCCGGGGAAGTCAAAAAAAAAACAAGTCAAGATGGCGAGCACACCTGCGTGATTGAAGCCCTGTCTCCTTTTTTACCCATGTCTCATGCACGACCCACATAAAAAGGAGCGACGGTCACATGGTTGTGACCATCCTCCTGACATTTTTCACTCTTGTGACATGAGGTGCTTTCATTTCTCTTTTACAGTCTGGCAGAGATGTGGAATTCTAGTGATGACGATTTTCGTATGTGTAGGGAGGAGTGAGAAGCTAGCGAGAAATGCAAGTCCTTCCTGATTTCCCTCAGGCATTTTTTACTGTAGTTTGGATAACACAGCCATTGTCATGGCAATAGATTATGGTTTTATTTTAGCAAAAAGCAAGAGGCAAACCTAGTCTAAAAAGAGGGAGGGGGGATCTCCAATATCTCTTGGGGCATATCAGAGAATAAAGTTTCTGTATCCAAGAAGAGCATTGTTCAAGTATTTTCATATTACAGGGAATAGTAGATATTGTTTTTTCTTTCTGCATTTTCCTAGTGTAGGCTGGGTCTGGTGAAAATGCTCCTCCTTAAAGAACAATCTCTTATTTTCCACCTTCTGTTGGTGAGTAGAACTAATATAATGTCCATCCGTGGAATGGAAAGAGGCAGTTCCAGCATATTTATTTCATGTCTTTCTGTTTATTCAGCACTCAAGGCAGCTCGCTGCAATTAAAAATAGAAAGGATAAACCCTAAGATTAAAGCAATACAATTGAAACCTGGATAAAATTATGATCGGTATCATTAACATCAGTGTCAATTGAATTAAGAAGGTAAAGCTTGGAACCACTGTGAAAGAGATGGATTTCTTTTTTGGCCATATTCTTAAATACTGGGAGAGATACATCTCTCTGGGAGCCGCACAGGAGACGACTTTCTCCTGCGTATCAGATTAAGGAATTTCCAGCAGAGCCTCTCCTGGTGGAAAAAAATGGTGCTCACAATTCAGCCCTTGTTCTGTGTTATACTTCAAGCCTAGCATAATCCTGTCTCCAATAAAAGAGAATATCTGTAGCTCGGGGTTGAATTGTGGAGCCCTTGGTGCTCTCTGAGCTCGGTGGTTTGCTTGTAGACATTTCATGACCCGACTAGGTAACATCATCAGTGCGAGGGGGTGTGGGGTTTGCTCCCTGTTTATATCCTTGGGGCAGGGTTTGCCTACATGCAGATTTCTCCCATTTGTGTGCTTTCTGAAGCGTTTGCTGTTTGAAAGTGTTACCTAGTCAGGT